GTCCGCTTGGAAGAGACACACAGCCTGTGTGATCATGAGGTGTTGATGGGGTCAGGTATCAGGCATCAAAGACCCAGGACCAAAAAATCATATCATTGTGAATGAGGGGGAATGTAGAATGGAGACCAAAAGCCCATCTGTAGATATTGGATATGCCCTTACAGAAGGGTCCCAGGAAGAGAAGAGCCAGTCAAGGTGCAGTATAACACAGATGAAACATAAAACTTTCTGCTAATTCTTTAATGCTTTCTCCTCCCTCCCCACTATCATGACCTTAATTCTACCTTACAAATCAGGCTAAACCAGAGCATGTACACTGGTACAGATAAGAGCTCAGAACACAGGGAATCCAGGACAGATAAATCCCTCAGGACCAATAATGACAGTAGCAATACCAGGAGGGAAAGGGGAAGGTGGGGAGAGAAAGGGGGAACCGATCACAAGGATCTACATATAACCCCCTCCCAGGGAGACGGACAACAGAAAAGTGGGTAAAGGGAGACAATGGATAGTGTAAGACATGAGAAAACAAAATTTATAAATTATCAAGGGTTCATGAGGGAGGGAGGGGAGGGGAGGGGGGAAATGAGCTGATATCAAGGGCTCAAGTAGAAAGAAAATGTTTTGTAAATTATGATGGCAACATATGTACAAATGTTCTTGACACAATGGATGGATGGATGATTGTGATAAGAGCTGTACGAGCCCCCAATAAAATGATTTCTTTTTTAAAGAAAGGGGAATTTAAAAAAAAGAAAGAAGTTCTCTTTCAGATATTCTCAATAATCATTTGATATACACATTTATACTCATTTTAGGAGAGGTTATAAAACTTTCCAAAGCCAAAAACTTCATACAAGGCAGAGCCAGTTTTAAACCTGTATGATTATAAATCACATCACTTTTTCAGTCCTTCACAACCTCCTTGGCACGAAAACGCAGGCCGATCCTATCTCAGCATTTATCACTGAAGTATAACTAAGTAACCCTACCATCAAGTCACTTTTGACTCAGCCCCGCCGCCACAGGAAGGAAGAAAGCTACTCACCGTGGGGTTTCCACAGCTGTCAATCTTTATAGAAGCCATCTGCCACATCTTTCTCACTTAGAGTAGCTGGCAGGTTTGAGCCAGCACACTTCCAGCTAGCAGATGAGCATGTGACCGCTGTACCACCAGGGCTCTTTATTTATTTATTTTTTTTGAGTTTTTTTTTTAACATTTTATTAGGGGCTCATACAACTGTTATCCCAATCCATACACACATCAATTGTGTAAAGCGCATTTGTACATCGTTTC